TTTGGCGCTGCAGCAATCTGCCGCCGGACGTGATATCTCAGTTATTGCGAAACCTGCGGTGGAGGAGATCGTAGCTTCGCCGGCATCCGCCGTCTGTAAGAAGCTCGCGTTCGACCTCATTCGATCCACCGCCGCCGCCGTCTCGATCCTTGCGGCTCTTCCGTCCTTAATAGCGTGTTCATCTCTTTGCTAGGGAAAGTGTCCGAGGAGGTCAGAAGCCTCAACCTGGGACAGATATTATTTCTCTCTTTGAGGATGCAAGGATAAAGGATGATCTTAACAGCGTGACCAGTAAAAGCTCTCAGTTATCTCTACCTTTGCCTGAACAGAAGAACTCAGATATGGAGAGCAGAGTGGTCGGTGCGCTAGCATATGGTACTCTGAACTGGACAGAGGCTAATATCATCACAGCATACATGAGTCGGAGATCACTTGCAAATGTGGTGGAATGATGGAACCAGAAGAAAGCTGTGGAGATTCTTGTCCCACAAAAATCAAATGTGCTGAGGTACATGTCTGGATATTGAATCTGGCATATAGAGTTCTTAATATTTGCATTAATACAAGTCGAGAGATTTGCAATCTATTGGGCTGCATGATTTCCATGTAATCGGGCCAATTTTGAATTCAAATTGGCCTAATTTCTGACCGTTTGATGGAAAAAACTGGGTTAATACAGAATACCGAAAATACCCTTCCACTCTGCCATTTTCCTTTTCGGCGGAAGTGCCGACTCTTAAATAAGAGGGTCTGGCTTCTTGTTCCGTCATTTCTTCCTCTCTCCCCCTCTCTCTCTCCTTCGATGGCGATTGAATCTATCTGGGTTTTTTCTTCGCCATCTCTTCCGGTTCTTGGAGTTTCTTGCGATTTCGTTCCTCATCTCTTGATTTCTGGTTCTCCGTACCGATTTCTACGTTTACCCACCCAGTGAACCCAAAGCCAGAAACCCTAGTTTCTCTTCATTTGCATGCTTGGTGCTGATTCCATGCGTGAAGGTCTGGTTTTGTAGAAAAGATTGCATCTTTCGTGATGCCGTCTCGAAGGTTGCGTTTGAGTCCGTCGGTAGGCTGTTCCAGGAGTTTGATTCGAAGCGGATGAGCCGTTTGGCTGGAGACAAGCTCGTGGACAGCGAGAATTTCCTAGCCATCAGGTCGAAGTGGGAATCATCCATGGTTGACTTTGTGTGGAAAAAGAGAAGCGCTTTGTTGGCTAGGTCTCTGGTTCTTCCGGTTGAAAGGTTTCGAGCCACCGTATTCCCTCTGGTGTTTGCCGTGAAGGCTGTAGCTTCCGGTAGCGTGGAAGTGATAAGGCAGCTTTCGAAGGCTTCCTCAGGTGCTGCAACTAATGGTACGGATGTGGACTCCAATGCTGAGAAGTTGGTCGGGGTTTCAGATTTGGTGACACATTTGGCTTCGTCTCTGGAACCAGCTTTGATCTTTGAGGTGGGAATTAACATGCTTTACCTGGCGGATGTTCCCGGAGGGAAACCGGAGTGGGCTTCACTGTCCATCATCGCAATCTTAATCCTTTGGGACAGGCAAGAGTTTTCTTCCGCTAGAGAGATTATAGTCAGGGCAGTTGTCACGATTTGGAGGTAAATGGCCTCATTTACTGGATTCGATTTGGAGTTCTTTAGCTTGATGAGGATGGATGCAGTGACCAAGTGCCCTTTTTCTTCACGGTTTGTGTTTTGAAGCTGCGGTAACTTGTGTTCTAAATTGTTCTATTTCTGATGAAGGTCTCATTGTTTAGAAGATTGCTGCTTATGGTGAGGAACTTGAGAGCAGAATCAGACAGGATGCATGCCTTGGCCTGTATCTGCCGGACAGCTCTATGTGTTCATCTCTTTGCTAAGGAAAGTGTCCGAAGAGGTCAGAAGCCTCTACCTGGGACAGATATTATTTCTCTCTTTGAGGATGCAAGGATAAAGGATGATCTTAATAGCGTGACCAATAAAAGCTTGTTTCGGGAAGAGTTGGTGGCAATGCTCGTGGAAAGTTGCTTTCAGTTATCTCTACCTTTGCCTGAACAGAAGAACTCAGGTATGGAGAGCAGAGTGATCAGTGCGCTAGCATATGGAACTGGTTATGGTACTCTGAACTGGACAGAGCCAGCCCAAGAAGTCGTGGAAGTTTGCAACCCTTGTGTCAAATGGGACTGTGATGGTCAGACCTATGCGATAGATTGCTATTTGAAGTTGCTTGTTAGACTCTGCCACAGTTATGATACCCGAGGACGAGTGAAACGACTTAAAGATGGTGGAGATGGTAGTTTTCATCGATTCCTTGTAGACATTTTCCAAGATTCAAACATCTTTTTCAGTATATGTATTAAAGGTCTCTCACTCTGATATCATCACAGCATACATGAGTCGGAAATCACTTGCAGATGTGGTGGAATGATGGAACCAGCAGAAAGCTGTGGAGATTCTTGTCCCACAAAAATCAAATGTGCTGAGGTACGTATCTGGATATTGAATCTGGCATATGGAGTTCTTAATATTTGCGTTAATACAAGTCTGAGAAATTTGTAATCTATTGGGCTGCATGGAAATCATGTAATCGGGCCAATTTTGAATTCAAATTGGGCCTGATTTCTGACCGTTTAATGGAAAAAACTGGGTTAATGCGGAATACCGAAAATACCCTTCCACTCTGCATTTTCCTTTTTGGCGAAAATGCCGACTCTTAAATAAGAGGGTCTGGTTTCTTATTCCGTCATTTCCCCTTCTCTCCCCCTCTCTCCCTCCTTCAATGGCGATTGAATCTATCTAGGTTTTTCCTTCGCTATCTCTTCCGGTTCTTGGAGCTTCTTGCGACTTCGTTCCTCATCTCTTGATTTCTGTTTCTCCGTACTGATTTTTACGTTTACCCACCCAGTGAACCCATAGTCAGAAACCCTAGTTTCTCTTCATTTGCATGCTTGGTGCCGATTCCACGCGTGAAGGTCTGGTTTTGTAGAAAAGGTTGCATCTTTCCTGTTTTTCTTTGAAGGTCTGTAACATTTTCTGAAACTCTGTACAGGTGCGATCAAGAGACATACTCAGCCGAAGCCCACGTTACTCTTCTTTTCTGTTCTTCCGATTCTTGGAGTTTCTTGCTACTCCATTCCTCATCTCTTGATTTCTGTTTCTCGGTACCGATTTCTACGTTTACCCACCCAGTGAACCCAAAGCCAGAAACCCTAGTTTCTCTTCATTTGCATGCTTGGTGCCGATTCCACGCGTGAAGGTCTGGTTTTGTAGAAAAGGTTGCATCTTTCCTGTTTTTCTTTGAAGGTCTGTAACATTTTCTAAAACTCTGTACAGGTGCGATCAAGAGATCAAGAGACATACTCAGTCGAAACCCGCGTTAGTCTTCTTTTCTGTTCTTCCGGTTCTTGGAGTTTCTTGCAACTCCGTTCCTCATCTCTTGATTTCTGTTTCTCGGTACCGATTTCTACGTTTACCCACCCAGTGAACCCAAAGCCAGAAACCCTAGTTTCTCTTCATTTGCATGCTTAGTGCTGATTCCATGCGTGAAGGTCTGGTTTTGTAGAAAAGGTTGCATCTTTCCTGTTTTTCTTTGAAGGTCTGTAACATTTTCTGGAAACTCTGTACAGGTGCGATCAAGAGACATACTTAGCTGAAGCCCACGTTAGTCTTCTCTTCTGTTCTTATCAAATCAACCTCTCCCTCTCGCTTGCCTATGATGATGGTAATCTTCTCTGAAATTTCCAACTTATTATCTTTGTGATGAAGCGTATTAATATTCATTGAGTTCTCTCTTTCTTTTTAAGGTTGGTATTGTTTCGGTGGAACTACTGAATGGCAAAAACGAAGTACCTGAAGCCAAGGACGCCACGGGGTGGAACCCAATGGGAACATGTAAGTTCTTGAAAAGCAAAGATTCATACCTTGTAAGTGCTCTTCCCTGTTTGAATTTCTGTTTGAATAGGAACATTATCTGTATATATTAATCTGCGAAAGATGTCTGATATAGGATTTTTCTAGACTTTATTGTGCATCTGATGCAAAAAACTGTCTGAAGTCTTAATATGTTCCGAATCGTGATGAAAAAGTTGCTAATCTCATATGAGAAAAAATCCAGAGGGTCTGTTATATTGGGAATAATGGCTAAACAGACGCGCTGGCGTGGGAACGCTATCTGTTGCACATGTCCCGAAACATAACTAGAAAATTTGCGTTCTCAAATGAGATGCAAATACAAGGTTCTGTTGGGAATAATGGCTAGACAGACTCTGTAATGGGAACGCGATCTGTTACACATGTCCCGAAACGTAACTTAAAAAAATATGCATTCTCAAATGAGATGCAAATACAGTGTTCTGTTGGGAATAATGGCTAGACAGACCGTAGAGTGGGAACGTTATCTGTTACATATGTCCCTAAACGTAAGTAAAAAAATCTGCATTCTCAAATGAGATGCAAATATAGGGTTCTGTTGGGAATAATAGCTAAACAGATCCTGGAGTGGGAACACTATATGTTGCACATGTCCCGAAAC